GATTGCTGTGGCTAGGACCTCCAGAACTATGTTGAATAGAAGTGGAGAGAGTGGGCATCCTTGTCTTGTTTCCGATCTTAAAGGAAAAGCTTTCAGCTTCTTGCTGTTAAGTATAATGTTGACTGTGAGTTTGTCATCTATGGCCTTCGTTATGTTGAGGTACTTGCCCTCTGTACACATTTTCTTCAGAGTTTTTATCATGAATGGATGTTGAATTTTTATTCAAATGCTTTTTCAGCATCTATGGAGATGAGCATGTGGTTTTTGTCCTTTTTGTTGATGTGGTGGACGATGTTGATGGATTTTAGAATGTTGTACCATCCTTGCAACCCTGGAATAAATCCTGCTTGAACATGATGGAGGATCTTTTGATGTATTTTTGAATTTGGTTTGCTAATATTTTGTTGAGTATTTTTGCATCTATGTTCATCAGGGATATTGGTCTGTAATTTCTTTTTTTGTGGTGTCTTTGCCTTGTTTTGGAATTAGAGTGATGCTGGCCTCATAGAATGAGTTTAGAAGTATTCCCTCTTCTTCTACTCTTTGGAAAACTTTAAGGAGGATGGGTATTAGGTCTTCACTAAATGTTTGATAAAATTCAGTGGTGAAGTCATCTGGTCCAGAGGTTTTGTTCTTAGGTAGGTTTTTGATTACCAGTTCAATTGCTGGTAATTGGTCTGTTCAGATTTTCTGTTTGTTCCTGGGTCAGCCTTGGAAGGTTGTCTAGGAAGTTGTCTGGTTGTTCTAGGTTATCCAGTTTGTTACCGTATAATTTTTCATAGTATTTTCTAACAATTCTATGTATTTCTGTGGTGTCTGTAGTGATTTTTCCTTTTCCATTTCTAATTCTGTTTACATGAGTAGATCTCTTTTTTTCTTGATAAGTCTGGCTAGGAGTTTATCTATTTTGTTTATTTTCTTGAAGAACCAGCTCTTGCTTTCATTGATTCTTTCTATTGTTTTATTCTTCTCAATTTTATTTATTTCTGCTTTAAACTTTATTATTTCCCTCCTTCTCTAAATTTGGGCCTCATTCATTCTTCTTTTTCTAGTTTCGGTAATTGTGAGTTTAGACCACTCATATGGGATTGTTCTTCTTTCCTGAGGTAGGCCTGTATTACAATATACTTTCCTCTTAGCACAGCCTTTGCTGCATCCCACAGGTTTTTGCAGTTTTGAATTATTGTTGTCATTTGTCTCCATATATTGCTTGATCTCTGTTTTTATTTGGTCATTGATCCATTAGTTATTTAGGAGCAGGTTGTGAAGCCTCCATGTGTTTGTGGGATGTTTCATTTTGTCTTTGCATAATTTATTTCTAGTTTCATACCTTTGTGATCTGAGAAGCTGGATGGTATAATTTCAATCTTTTTTAATTTACCAAGGCTCTTTTTGTGGCCTAGTATATGATCTATTCTTGAAAATGTTCCATGTGCACTTGAGAAGAATGTGTATTCTGCTGCTTTTCAGTGTAAAGTTCTGTAGATGTGTGTTAGATCCATCTGTTCTAATGTATTGTTCAGTGCCTCTGTCGCCTTACTTATTTTCTTTCTGGTTGATCTGTCCTTCAGAGTGAGTGAAGTGCTGTAGTCTCCTGGAATGACTGCATTGCATTCTATTTCCCCTTTTAATTCTGTTAGTATTTGTTTGACATATATAGGTGCTCCTGTGTTGGGTGCATAGATATTTATAACGGTTATATCTTCTTGTTGGATAGACCCTTTATCATTATGTAATTTCCTTCTTTGTGTCTTGTGAATTTCGTTTTGAAGTCTATTTTGTCTGATACAAGTACTGCAACTCCTCCTTTTTTCTCCCTATTAGTTGCATGAAATATCTTTCTCCATCCCTTCACTTTTAGTCTGTGTATGTCTTTGGGTTTGAAGTGAGTCTCTTGTAGGCAGCATATAGATGGGTCTTATTTTTTTATCCATTCAGTGACTCTTTGTTTTTTGATTGGTGCATTCAGTCAATTTACATTTAGGGTGATTATCGATAGGTATGTACTTATTGCCATTGCAGGCTTTAGATTTGTGGTTACCAAAGGATCAAGGTTAACTTCCTTACTCTCTAAGAGTCTAACTTAACTCACTTAATATGCTATTACAAACACAATGTCAAGGTTCTTTTTTTTTTTCTCCTCCTTTTTCTTCCTCTTCCATTCTTTATATATTAGGTATCATATTCTGTACTCTGTCTATTCCTTGGTTGACTTTGGGGATAATTAACTTAATTTGCATTTGATACTAATTAGCTGTTCTACTTTATTTACTGTGGTTTTGTTACCTCTGGTGACAGCTATTAAAGCTTAAAACACTTCCATCTATAGCAGCCCCTCCAAAATACACTGTAGAGATGGTTTGTGGGAGGTAAATTCTCTTAGCTTTTGCTTATCTGGAAATTGTTTAATCCTTCCTTCAAATTTAAATGATAATATTGCCAGGTAAACTAATCTTGGTTCAAGGCCCTGCTGCTTCATTGCATTAAATACATCATGCCACTGCCTTCTAGCCTGTAAGATTTCTGCTGAGAAGTCTGATGATAGCCTAATGGGCTTTCCTTTGTATGTGTTCTTATTTCTCTGTCTGGCTGCATTTAGTAGTCTATTCTTATCCTTGATCTTTGCCATTTTAATTACTATATGTCTTAGTGTTGTCTTCCTTGGGTCCCTTATGTTGGGAGATCTGTGGATCTCCATGACCTGAGAGACTATCACCTTCCCCAGATTGGGAAAGTTTTCAGCAATTACCTCCTCAGAGACACTTTCTACCCCGTCTTCTCTTTTCTCCTTCTTCAGGTACCCTATAATGTGAATATTGTTCCATTTGGACTGGTCACACAGTTCTCTCAATATTCTTTCAGTCTTAGAGATGCTTTTTTCTCTCTGTCCCTCAGCTTCTTTGTATTCCTCTTCTCTAGTTTCTATTTCATTTATTGTCTCCTCCACCATATCTAATAAGTTTTTAATACCCTCCATTGTGCTCTTCAACCATTGGATCTCTGACCAGAATTCATTCCTGAGTTCTTGAATATCTTTCTGTACCTCCATGAGCATGTTAATGATTTTTATTTTGAACTCCCTTTCAGGAAAATTCATGAGGTTGATGTCATTTAAATCTTTCTCAGGAGTTGTATTAATAATTTTACTTTGAACCAGGTTCCTTTGGCATTTCATATTTGTATATGGTGCCATCTAGTGTCCAGAAGCTCTACTCTCTGGAGCTGCTCAGCCCCTGAAACAATGTTGGGGGTCGCGGCTGAGTGGTATTGGTGCCTGGGGGGGAGGAAAGAGCTGTTTCCTGCTTCCTGGCTGCTATGCCTGTCTCCACTGCCAGAACCAGTGGGCTGAGCACACAGGTATAAGCCTCTATGCTTTGCATTTGTCATTGTTGTAGGCAGATCTTTCCTCTGGCTGTCCTAATGCCTGGGTACGGTTTGCTGGTTTGTGAGCCAGGTGGGGCTGGCCTGGAGAAAGGCTGCGTATCATGGAAGGGGTCCTTGGAGCTGTGTTGCCAGCCAGGGAGATGGAGCACCTGAAGATCGTGAAAGCTCCCAACCTGCTGGGCAGAGTACACCCAGACAATTTTGTCTACCTTTCTTTTCTCCTAAGCAGTAGGCTCTGTGCAAACCTTGCCCCTTTAGCAGCCCTCTTGCTAAGGGCTTCCTTGTTAGGAAGTCTCTCAGACTGCCCGCCTTTCTTATTTCCATCCCTGCTTTCCACAAGTGTGTGCAATCTAAGTCTCTCCAGGAATTCTGGCTATCTTAGCTTTCCAACCCTCTAATCATGAGAGTACCATGCAGGCACCATGAAATGTAGGTTTGTGCTCCCAGAGCAGATCTCTGGAGGTAGGTATTCAGCAGTCCCAGGCCTCTACTCCCTCTCTGCTCAGTTTCTCTTCCTCCCACTGGCGAGCTGCGGTGGGGGAGGGGCTTGGGTCCCTCCAGGCCACAGCTTTGGTACATTACCCTGTTCTGTGAGGTCTGCTCTTTTCTCCAGGTGTATGCAGTCTGGCACAGTCCTCTTTCCTGTTGTTCTCTTAGGATTAGTTGTATTAATTGTATTTTCATATTATATGTGGTTTTAGGAAGAAGCCTCTGTCTCACCTCTCACGCTGCAATCTTTAATCCTCCCCCCTCAGTGTAATATTTAACTGTTGTTTGTTTCTAAGAGATGTGAATGTCCTGTTTCCATTGAACCACCTGATGTGTCTCATATGGATAGTCCATAGTCCACTTATTGCAAAGTTCTACTTGTAACTCTTTAGATAGAGAAATTCCATAATGGTGGGAACTGTTTTCCCTAATAGTTACTTGGGGATATTGACTAACCAAGCTGAAAATCTTGTTCCAACATACTACATGTAAAGCACTTAGAAGGGTACCTGGCACATAGTAAATAGTGTTAGTTGCTATTTATACTATTGTTTACCTGTCAGATGAGAAAAGACTCCTACCGTTTCTTCAGTGCTTTGACCTCTTTAATAGTGCCTCCATTTTCCCATAGAAATAGATCATTTACTTTAGTATATAATTACTTTTCCAAGATCTATATGTTTAGTTAGACTTTCAGGATGCTTCCTGAAAACACGGGTTCCATGCTCAAATATACTGAAGAAAGTCAGTGTACCTTATCTCCTAATGGAGAATCAGAATGCTGATTAGCCTATTGAGTTCTCTAAAACTTTCTACAAAAGAAACAAACAAAAATATTTAAGCATATTAAACCAACATTGTGAAAGTGTATTTGTACATAGAACCATCTTAATGAAAACTATTAATATTTCAATTAAGACATTTTAGAAAATACTGTTCTAATGCATTCGTGTTTTCTTTTCTCTTCTGACTTAGCATTTTTCACAAGAGCTTGCTTTTGTGAACTGTTGAATCTAACATTTTCAAGTTTTCCTATCCCTGATATTATCAATTTCAAGGAGGCTGAGATTGATAAACTCCTATATTTTAAAAAGCTGAAATTTTAAATTTATTTTTATCTTCTCCAGTTAATTTAGAGGAAATCATAGAAGGAAATTTTGTTGACTCATCAGTCCAGCAAGTGGTGGGGAGTGGAGGCCAGAGGGTCATCACCGTAGTGACTGATGGAGTCCCTCTGGGTAATATCCAAACTGCAATCCCTACTGGATGCATTGGTCAGCCATTTATTGTAACTATGCAAGATGGACAGCAAGGTGAGTTATTCCATTTAGACAGTTGTTTATTAAAATTTAGACACTCAACACTCCTCTAAAAATGAGGCATTAAGACAGGCAGTGAGAATGGGAGAATGACAAATGTCAGATGGGGTAAAGAAGGTCTGAAAATGAAAAAGAAATTAGGCTGGCAAAAGCTAATTCCCTAATACATATAAAATTTTTTAGTAAAAACCAATAAGCTGGTAGGAAAAAAGGTCAAATAATATGAATCAGTAGTTCACAGAAAAGAAGATATGGATGGTTCTTAGAAATAGGGAAATATTGTCAACCTACTTCATATATAACAAGAAAAATGCAAATAAATACTTCACTGAGATACCAGTATAACACTGTGCTGTCAAGGGTGTGGGGAAACAGGTTCTCTTATAAATGTCTGGTGAGAGTGTAAATGTATCCTTTAAAGAGCAAATTGGTAATATCTATCAGTATTAAAGATACACATAGCTTTTGGCTAAAAAGTTCTTTTTCTGTGAATTTATATTCATACAGAAATGACATATATATGAAATTATTAATTACAGCAGTATTTAATCATCAAAGATTAAAAAGAACCTAAGTATATGTCAGTAAGGAACTGGATAAATAAAGTTCGGTACACCCACGTAATGGAATACTATGCAGCTCTTAGAAACAATGAAGAAATTCCTTATATACCAGTATGGTCTGATCTCCAAAATATATTGTTCAGTGACAAGAGCAAGATGCAGGACAATGTGTAGCATTTGCTACATTTGTATTTTTAAAATAAGGGAATTATATGTATATTTACTAACATATTCATTGACTTCATAGACCATCTGTGGAAGAACATTCAAGAATAACATTGATAACATTGGTTGCTTTCTAGGAGGGGACCTTGGGGGCTGGGGATGGATGGGAGGCTTTTTACTATATATACTTTTATAGTTTTTAATTTTTGTGAACCATGTGGATGTATTATTCAAAAAAATACATGAGTAAATTTTTGAGAGGAGAAAGAAACTTATCATTGCAGCTTCAGTTCTTAAAAAGTTTGAAAGGAGGGTTGGTATAATTGCCTTTGTGTCACCAAAATTTTGACTTGACCTAAATAATCATGGGGACTTTATAATTTTCAAATTATTTGAATTGATGGATTTTTGCAGCATGGGAAGGGAGAGTAGGAATTAAACCTTTATAATTCAAGCGTTGGTATCATAAATTCTTATTAATTTATTTGGAAATATACTACTGATGTTTTTGTGAATATCAAAACAAATACATTGGGGGCTCATTGGATGGGTGAGAGACTGCTTTATAATGGAGCTAAATAAAAGAGAGCAGAGTTGTTTTGAAGAAAAAAAAATTAAAGCTTGAGATTTTGCCTAGATGAACTTCACTACTTTTCATAAATGTGTTAAACCAGGTCCAAAGAAGGAAGGCTGAGATTTGTGAATTATCTGTAGGAAATTTTAAATCAACTAAATTTCCACTTAACAGATATCTGAACTGCTTTCCACTACCATCAGGGAATACAGCTAATTTTTAAATTAATGAAACCAAATAACTAGACAAATTTTCTGTATTAAATAAAAATCATAACACATTCTAAAACCTAAATATGATTCTTAATGTTTCATTTTAAGTTAATTGTAGATTCATGTACAGTTGTAAGAAATAATAGAGATCCCATCATGTATCAAACACCCAGCTCCCCCCAGATGGTAATTTTACATAACTATAGTATAATATCACAGATAGGAAATTGACATGAATACAATCTACTAACCTTACTGAGATCTTTACAGTTTTGTATTTTAATATGTGTGTGCATGTACTTAATGCAAATTAATATATATGTATATTTGTGTAAGCACTAACACACTCAAGATACAGAATAGTTCCATCACAGGGCTCTCTCGTGCTATTCATATTCATAGCTACCTTCCTTCCCACCCCATTCCTAATTCCTGGCAACTACTCTCTCTCTACTCTTTTGTCATTTCAAGAAAGTTATATAAATGGGATCATACAGTATGTAAACTTTCGAGATGGGCTGTTTTCCTCTCAGCATAATTTCCTTAAGATCCATCCAAGTTGGTGTTTGAATCAATAGTTTACTCTTTATTGCTGAGTATTATTTCATGGTATGGATGTACCACAGTTTGTTTAACTGTTCAGCCATTGAAGAACATTTAAGTTGTTTTCAGTTTTTGGCTATCTATGAATAAAACTATTATGATCAATCATGTTCAGGTTTTATGGGAACATACATTTTCAGTTCTCTGGGATAAATGCCCAGAAGTGCAATTGCTGGGTCATATAGTAAGTGCATGTTTAGTTTTGTAGGAAACTGCCAAACACAGTCCTCCAGCATAACTACAATTTTACATTCCCACCAGCAATTTATGAATAATTTAGTTTCTCCACGTCCTTGGCAGCATTTAATATTATTTCTATATTTTTTAAATTTAGTCATTCTGGCAGATGGATAGTATGTGCCTGTGGGTATTTGTGCATCTGTGTTGGCCCTTTTCTCATTTATGAGCAGATAAATGATTGAATTAGGTACAGTTAATAGCAAACTGCTTTCATGAGATGCTTCTCAAAAGTCTTAAAGATATCGGGTCTTCTTTAGCAAGTTATTCCCACAGAATTGTAGGCTAATTGGTCATAGCTTCTGACCTACAGTCAGACATCTTTCTGTAAGAGCATCAGACCTGGGTCTTAATTATGTGGCTTACAAAACCTAAAAATCTTTACCCTTTCTTCCTGTGGCCTTCTGCTAGCCTCTCTAATCCTCTCCTTCTCTCTGAGGAGCTATGCCTCACCTTTTGACTGAAAAATCCAAAGAGATATGAACAATAAGATATCAGAGAATATATTTCAGTTCATTTTCTAATTTGAAGCAAGCAAAACCTCTTAATGTTTTACTATGTATTCATCGCATCCAATTGGTGTCCTTTGGCTTGTAGTTCTAACTGTACCTGCTGGTCAAGTTGCAGAGGAGACTGTAATTGAAGAAGAAGAGGAAGAAGCAGAGAAGTTGCCACTGACTAAAAAACCAAGGATAGAAGAGATGATAAACAGTATGGAGGAAAGCAAGGTATTGTTTTTAGCAGTGGTAGAAGAGAAAGGAGAATCAAAAGCTATATATGACTTTAAAGGCCTGAACCTCTTTTCATTTACTTTCTAGATAATCTGTGATAAGGAATTCTTACCTGGTGGTGACATGGTTTACTTTTACAGGAGGGCACTGAAAGAGAGCTATTACAGCAGCAGCTCCAGGAGGCCAGTCGAAGAGCACAGGAATACCAACACCAGCTCCTAAAGAAAGAGCAGGAGGCAGAACAGTACCGCCTAAAGCTGGAGGCCATGGCCCAACAACAGCCCAAAGGAGTTGATTTCACCGTGGTTGAAGAGGTGGCTGAGGTAGATGCTGTAGTAGTCACAGAGGGGGAGATAGAAGAGAGAGAGATGGAAGTGACTGAGGCAGGAGAGACCACAGAGCCTCATACTGGAGTTACCGTGGAAACTGTTCCATCTTAATGTGCAAGGGCTACAACTTGTACTTTGTCCATCTTTTTTTCTCTTTTTAAAAGAAAATACAGAGGACAAGCATTATATAAAAATTAAGACTGTTCTTAAGAAGAAAACTATAGCAGGGTATTATGGTTGGGCTCAGGAAGGCTCTCTATGCAACTGGAAAATTCAAAGCCAAATTTAGGGAACACTTCTTCTGAGGAACCAAAAGAAGGACCAAATTTCTCAGCTCACGTCATTGCTTTAAGCATAGGGGTGAAAGAATGCTGATGTTATGGGTTGATCGTTTTTTAAATAACTAACTTTATATAAAAAGATTTTAGGATAACATTCCTAATACAGACACCCAGAGACGTTAATAATTGTACCATTAAGTGACCTGAAAATTTTCCTCAGATGTATGAACCTGTTAGAGAAGAAAATTAATTAGGAGGGGGTTAGAAGCAAACTTCTGGGAAGAGAAAGGAATGTATTCCACTTGCAAAGGAACAGGCACTCCCCACTATCCTGAGTGAGTTTCAATGAAAAGAAATTTGTGGTTGTCTTGACTAAATTTGCTTCCATGTGTCCAGAGCTCTAATGCCAGTTTGAGAAACTGACAGAATTTTTAAAAACTGGAAGGGAAAGAAAACTTTCGTTTATGTGGGAGAAGTGTATGTAAATCCAAAATCCTCCATACTGTGTTTCCACAACGTTGGAACGTGGTCAAAAAGAGGCTTGCAGGGTTATAAAACAATCTGGTCTTGAAATACAAACTTTGCTATGGCTGAATTTTATAAAATTGTAATCAGGAGAGTAGTCTGTTATTAGAACAACTTGCTTCCAAACATTTATTTATATAATACCAAACTTTAATACCAAAATTTTGCTGAGTTTTCTAAGTGTGTCCTTTCTGTGGAGCCTACATGGTTTGCTTTTATATGCAAAAAAAAGAAAGAAGGGAGGAGAAATGAGTGCTGAGGATGTTGTGTAGTTCTGTGTCCATTTGATATGGGATGACCTAATTGCTCTGTTTCCTTAGGTCAGGCCTGAGCAGAGCTTTTGTGCCTTTTAGGTGTTCAGTGTGTGTTGGCAAAGGGAGTAGGAATTATCAGTGCCATAAAGTAAGGAACTAAAGATTCTGGCCAAATACTTCACCTCCCTTACACCCTTTCTCTCCCATTATTCCTGCTCCCTGTGGCTAAGCACTTGTGGAAAGTGTTTCATTGCTGGGTTTTCTTTGCAAAACTCCAGCTTGGAGTTTTTTCAAAAGAAGGAGAATATGGATAGAAAGCAGTTGTGGATAGGTAACATCACAGAGGTTATCACCTTTGAAATTGGGTTCTTGTCATTCTAGACTTGCTTGCTTGCTTTGTTGTAAATTAGAAGAAGAAACCAGAGGGAGATGTGCCAAGTAAACATTTGAATGACTGTTTAGAATATGGTTTTCTCAATTAGTGATCATGGGGAAAACATTTTTAATTTGGAATAAAACTTGACGGTTAACATGGTTCTTTTTACCTTGATTAGCGAAGTAATTTGCTGCAGTTTTCCAGAGTTACAGAATCATTTGGGACTCAAAATATACTGAAAACCTAACTCCCCAAACCAAATTTAACAAGTGGAATTGTCTATTAGAGGCTTCTAGGTAAGAATATCAGTTCTTTGAAATTAATCTTGGCTATCAGCCACCTTAGCTAAGTTTTCTCCATGGACTTAAGTACTGATGAGCAGATGATCAGAGATTACTCTGGGCTGTTGGAGATGACAGAGAAATGCAGTGAAGGAGCCTAGGTAAGGATGAGGGTCAAATTATGGTTTCTGATGTCAAATCATCTTGTTTCTGTTTTGTTGTTTTTCTCTTTTTAGGTCCCTTTGTGAATCAGGTGCTAATGAAAAGCTGCTATTGTGTGTTATTTCAGAGCCTTAGCTTAACTATGGAGGGACCAAGTGTCATTTTAGATGTGTTTTCTTATGTTCTTGGTATGTTTTTATATATCAGTTATTATGTATCAATCCTGGTTATGTTCCTACATATCAATTTTAATTTGTTTTTTCCCCTTCTTTCCTGTTAAAGGGGTAGAGGTTAACTCTGCAGAAGATATCCAGGCCCAAACACCTCACTGTCTGGGATAGTTTCTGTTGGGAGACATGAAGTTTCTACCCAACATTCCCTTCTGAGCATGCAGAGTTCCTACTATTTGGGGAACTGTTTAGAGGTTCTTATTATTCTCTTTCTGCAGGAGACTATCATTCCCACCCAAAAAAATATCTAACATAGCTCAAGTCATTTTTGATAATGGGGTCTCTGAGATAGGGAGTTAAAGGGAAGGTTAGGTTAGGGAGAGCAGAAAGGGAAAGATCTGGAGTGGAATGGGTAGCAAAAAGGCGTTTGTTTTTATTTTCTTGGAATAGACCTTTTAGCATCCCAGAGAAGAGAAATGGGATTTGTTCTCCAGTTGTATTGCTATAGAGAGAATGGTAGGTCAGGATCCCTTAAAGTAATTAGAAGTTAAATATTAAATGTATTAATGGCAATACCATTTTGTGATTTTGCATATCTTTCTGGATCAGTCATGGAATTTCCGGAAATGTTGCTGGATCTTCTGGGTTAGGGGATTCCAACTGGCTTATTGGCTAGATTGTATTACACAGAATCAACAGTAAGTGGTTCAGAGTTGGTATTTTAGCAGTACCTTGAGCAAACCTGGAGCCTAGGATGATTGCCTAGTTTCAAATAAAGCTGCATTAACAATATCAGTATATCAATATAGGAATTGTAGTCTCTGTATTAGTATTTTAGTCTTAAGCTTTTGCCCCCCACACCCCAGAAAAGAGAAAGAAAGAAATCTTAATATTTCTGTCTTGTTCCTGGCTTCAGGGAAATTACTTATAAATGTATAATTGTACATTCCCTTCCTATCACTACCTCTGTGGGATCTCTTAATTATACCAGAGTTGAGGTCTCTTAATTGAAGTATTGGGAGAACTTGGCTTTATGTTTTCTATATTTTGAATTCAGTGCCTGAAAAGATGTTATTTTTTGTGTCAAATCTGTGTTTTGTTATTTTTGTTTTGCCTTTCCCCCATCTTCATCCTTACCATTACATTCTTAAAATGTTTGTGTCTGCTCAATAATGTTAGAAATTTGTGGCATACAAAATAACTTTTTTTATATTAATATAGAAGAAATTAATTTACCAGAGGGCTGTCCAGTTGAAGTTAGGTATTGTGTGACTAGAGCATTTTTAATACCCCCTTCCTGGATGTATATTAGTGTGTATGTGTGTAAATACATACAGATTTTCCTTTTCTCTTTGTTTATTTGAGGTTATTTGTGGTTGTCTTGACTAAATTTGCTTCCATTTAAAAGTACCTGGTATAACCTGGAAATATTTTTATTTTATTAAACACATTAGAGAGGATTTATTTGGATTCACTAAAGGAGCTAAGGAAGAAAAGGCATCATTTGGCCCTTTTCTGAGAGGTGTGCTTTAATAGGCAATAATGAGAAACCTGAGGAGTGAGGCCCCAGGGAGAACCAGTACCTGGCATTACAGATATTTGTTTAGCACACAGTATGATGACACCATGTAAGCTGAAAGGTTAGAGCAATGGTGGATAGAGATGCAGCTGCCCTTCCATAGAGCAAGCCTCCTTCCACTCCTATGGCAGCTATTTTGACTGGCACTTGTAAAATTTCTTACACCTCTGAACAAGAAATCAACTCTAGATAAAGGGCCATCATAAAGGAGCATCTACTTTCTCAGTTTATAAATCTCATACTTTTGAGAAATTATCATTTTTAGAAAGTTTGTGTGGCACTCTCCTAACTCACATTATGGATCTTCAGAGCTAGATTTGAGACATATAGCGAACTCTTCCCATAAGTTTAATATTGAGAAATTTAATACCAGTTTTTGTCCAAATTTATTGGAGAATGGCCTCTATTCTCTATTCCTTGTGCAGACATTTCTGTATGGCCAATAAAGGAGCTTTAGAATGGAATACATGTCAAGACCACCTATATTCTGCTCTAGGTTCTTACATCTGTTTCCATTTTATGTGATGAATATTTTCCCCTTCTGAGTTAGCACTCTATTTCCTATGCCAATATATTTAACAAGAAACTAGGAGCAAGAAGGATGTTAATGGTAACTCAAATTAAGCAGCTTTGAGCCTCTGCTACTGACCTTTTTTTTTTTTTGCCTTTTTGCCTCTCTGGAACTAGGGGGTAGGGTGACCTTCCTTGACTTTACAGTAGCATTTGGCTTGTTAATGGCAGGAAACGGTGATTCCCTCTCTCTCTCTCTCTCCTCCCCTTTCCTCTCTAACTTACTTCTGCTTCTGTGACCCCATTGTTCTTATCTCATTGCGTCTTTGCCAGGCATTAGGAGATTTAATTAGTAGGTCATTTCTGATATATGGGCCCTCTTTTTCCTCTTTCCACTCCCCTCCTTCCCTACTATATATTTTCTATTTATTCTGAAGTGTTTTGTATCTGAGAATTAATCTGTGTCTCACCCTATATTCTGTGCTTCCTAGTTGGTTTCAGGCATCTTGCTCTATCAGCAATGATAGCAGCTCCCTTCTCTGGCTTTGCCCTGTGGACCGTCCTTATGCTAAGGCCATTTGTGTTGATGGGGGAGAGAATGTGAAAGGGTGAGGCACCTAGATTCTTTTAAGAATGCCCTCAGTTTTTCAGGTTGCTTGACAGCTTTACATTCAGTGCGTTTTAGGAAAACTTAAATACACTTCTCTTTTTTATTTAGGATTTTAATAAAACAAGGTTTGATTCTGATGAGCGAATTTGTGTGTGTGTGTGTGTGTGGGTGAGCATTTGTATGTGTATCCACATATACAGATCTTTATTATATATAAAATTTTTGTACTATCATTTAAAATAAAGATGTTTCTTAATAAAATGTCAAAGTCTTAACATTCAGAGTGTCACTGAAATTTTTCCCATCTCCCTGGCAAAAATTGTATCTACTCCGTCCTCACAGATAAACCTCAATGGCAAGTTTTCTTGCCTGACTGAGCTAATGAGGGCAGAGCAGGGGGAGGATGTTTGGGGATAAGAGGGGTGGTTCTTTCTCCTGTTGGGATCTTGTCTAACCCATTCACATTCTCTGCCTTTTTCTTATCTAGCTACTCCTTACGTGGTATCCTTAACAAGCAAAAGTAAGTTGAGGTAAGAACTGAAGTGAAAATGGAGAGAGCTTTTGACTGACTTTTTAAATTTACAGCTTCCCCAAAACTGAAGGAACAAAATAGCAGCAGACTCACAGACTCCAAGAAGGGACTAGTGGTTACCAAAGGGGTGGGGTGGGGTACGGTGGGTGGGAAGGGAGTGAGAAGAGGATTGTGGGATTATGACTGGTGCACATGGTGTGTATGGGGTCATGGGGAAGACAGTGTAGCACAGTGAAGATAAGTAGGGACTCTGTGGCATCTTACTCCACTGATGGACAGTGACTGCAGTGGGGTATGGGGGGAACTCAATAATAAGGGTGAATGTAATAGCCGCATTGTTTTTCTTGTGAAACCTTCATAAGAGTGTATATCAATGATACCTTAATAAAAAAAAATTTGCAACTTCCCTTTTCTCATCCTCAAATCCCCTCCCAAGAGAGGAAAACAGTAACTGAGGGAAATAATTCTATGCATTGAGTAAATTCAATGCTGAGATAAAGGGGGAGGGGGGGAAACATCAGACTTATGGAGGCTTAGAAATAATGGTTTTGCTTTGCTGACTTCTCAGCTATTCTTAGTTAATAAGGTGCTTATTGCTCTCTCAGTCCAACTCAGCACACATTTATTAAGTTAATTCAAGTAGCAGTTTGGTGTGGCATAAACCCCATTGATAGCCAGGGTTGAATAGACCCATCTGGCTGGAGTGATGGGTGTCCCTATTTAGGGTATAGTGTTCTCAAAAGCTGCTCCATTGGCAATAAAGATGCCTTTCTTAAATCAAGAAGGGTAATACTAAAGCCAAGGACATACAAGCATCTGTGTTCAACAACTAGAATCTTCAGGGAAGTTCCCAAAGCCACTATGTAAGAAATTGAACACCTAACATGTACTAGGATGCATGTAGATAACTGCTTTTTGGTAAATATATATAGTCAACAAATACTTGTACAATTAATTAAAAGGTACATCTGGAAGATCCTTCATAATTGCACATATGGTCTTTGCTGAAAGAAAAAGAGCGGACTTGAACCTTGAGAAGCAAAGCACTAAGAGTCTTGAATTAAAATCCTAGTGAGAGAAATCATCAGGAATATGGGAAAGTTGGAAGGGAATTCAAGAGAGAGGAACCTAGAGTTCTCAGAAAGGTAATATTCTTAAATGATAGGAAAAAACATGAACTAGGGCAAATTTCCTAAGATTTTTTTTTCTCTCTGTGAAAGTTAGCCCTCTACTCCAACAAGCTCAGTAGGTAGAAAGTACAAGAAAAGGCTTAAGTGGGAGGAACCTAGTGATAACTACACCTGTGTAGGGTTTGTGCCAGATGTCTGAGAGGTAACAGAGTAAGTTAGTTAAGACTATAGGGGAGCAAAGACTATACCCTTGAGCAAAGTGTGCATTCTATTCCTATAAATGTTCCTGAAGTTTAAAAGTTTTTATTGTAAAGGAAAGTGATGTTTGAGAGGCCAGTGTTATAAACCATAACAAGAGCTTCCATGCTTTTAAGTTTTTGCTGCATGTCTGACAATGGGCTAGGCACTTTGCATACACACAAACATACCTATCTTGCAAACATACACAACTCGTGTATTATTTTCAGTACATAGATACAAAAGGACAGGTTGTGACTTGGCTGAGTCCCTCAGCTTTAAAAAATTGTTTCAAACTTTCTAAAGCTACAGTTTCTACATAATTACTATTAGTTTCTTATTAGTGTTAGTTTCTTGTAAAGTTTGTCCCTTAATCAGAATACTGTCTTAAATCACTAGCTTTGGACAGTTTAATTCATCTCAAATTGCAGTTAAGAAACTGAAAAGTAACTTCTCTGAGCAGTTTTCCCTGTAAATTCTCCAAAGTAAATTTTCCTTCAAAACTAATTTAGGAGGTATCTCCTTAAAGTTGCTGGCAGCAGTATTTGAGCAAGGAGAGTCAAAGGTAATAGATGGGATCTTCATCTCTCAGTATATGGATATCTTCTCTTTTCTTCCAGATTATTCTTCTCCTTCCTGTATCTTATTCTCTATCCTGGGAGGCTAACCTGCATGAATTTTATCAATGGAGTGCCTGTGCTTTGGCTTCCAGTTGTAATCACCCAATAGGAATCTCTGGCAGGAGACTTGGAGGGCCAGAAAAATCTGAAATCAGTGTATTGATTTCCAAGTTCCTTCTCTTGGGGTCACTGGGCCTAGCTGTATCATTTGGTTAAAGGTCACTGCTCCTCTCAATGCAATCTCGCCTTCCAGGAGAACCATTACCTCCCTTTTCCCTTTCAGGCCTAAAGCTGTTACTAGTCTCCAGTTGCTGACCTATCCCTTGCCCACACTTTTAAAAAATAGTCCTCATTACTTTGAGTACTTCATTGGTTTCCTGTTGGGACCCCAATACACCTAATAAAGGTAGGTGATCTTTTGTATCCATAGGCTTTATATTTTATCCATGTACTTGAGCCCTTAATGTCATACATGTAAACTTAAATCTTTAGTTCTGAAGGGTCAGCTGCTGGATTAAGTAGCAGAGAATGACTCATACCTGTGTGGTTCCCAAGTGTGGGATAGTGGCCTCAAGGAGACTTGCCCTTGTGACTTAGCTCCCAAAGAGCCCAAGATGCTGAACAGCTTTTCATGCTTTGTGACTGTAGAACCTTCTGTGATTCAGGTCCCCAAAGCCTTACACAAGCTGATGGACTCTGCCTACTGGGGACCCAGTTTCTCCATAACCTCCCAGGATACTTCTGAGAAATCAGCTTAGAAATCTCTCAGGACGACGACTTATTCTCTTATTGGCACATTCTGTTTTTTCTGAAGACAAAGTTTGAGTTAATATCCTAATTTTAAAAAAAAGGCTATCAGCAGATTGCTTACTTGGTGTCATGTTTCGCTGTTGTGATAATTTCTTTGAATTCATCCCCTTATTATTCACTACTCTCAGGATGAGGTATTTCATAAATAATGAATTGCATGCTTGGTAGTAGACTACTTTATCTTGGATAAATAACCTTTTCCCACAAAGTGCTTAATTTAAACCTATATATTTAAATGGAACTTTACAGCACTGTGAGCTATGTTCTTTCTAGAATCTACAAAAGAAACCGAGGCTCAGAGGGTAGTTGAATTGCCAAGGTCACACACACAACTATTAAATGGCAGAGGCCAAGGACTGTTGCTCTCACTAGCCCTGAGAAGGTTCTGAGAGTTCAGCTTAGGCATTCTTGGTGAAAGAAGTCGCTGTACTTTATAAATACTAATAAATGAATTCCCTTCACAATTAAACTGAATTCAGGACTTTAACTTGTAAACTGCTTTTGCCTACAGAGTCACAAGGTTAAATTTCTATTGTACTTGCTTTTTGAGGATCATTCGTTTACCGCTTTCCTTGTGACCACCTTCAGGACAAGAACTGAAGTATTTGCCGAGGGCTGTGAAAGGCAGTAGCCTTAATTTTTTTTGGTCCTGGCTTTAACATTTTGATTTGAAGAAAATAATGAAGTCAGGTAATAGGGAAAGATTCTCCACCCCTTCCTTGCTCTCCTTCACTATCTAGGAAATGAGAGATGGTTTCAAAGCATCCTGGTTTAAGTAAGGTATCCAATGAGGGGAAAAACAGACCTGAAAGGACCTCTCCAACCCGGTGAAACAAGCCCCAAAGAGTTGGGGGACCCTGGACGACAACCAAATTTAACCAAACAAGCTAACTGAGGTGTGAGCCATGTTCAGAGAACATTTAAACACCTGAGAGTAAAATCTGTAAATGAAGTTTATAAGGATACAAAGGAAACGAGTTACTTAGAAGTAGATAGCTGTTAGTCATAGCCTAAGCAGGAGTTTGGAGGAACCACGATCTCTCAGCGTACCGTTTTTTCCTTTAGAAAGCGTTTTTACAAACTACCATACTTGAGACCCTCAAACAACCCCATTTTTCAGAGAAAACGAAGGTGCAAAGCAGAGCTTTAGCTTGTCAGTATCACAAATATAACGGCGAGGCTAGAAACAATCTCAGGGTTCTTCACCAAGTTGTTCTCAGCTGTTTCCCTGCGATCAGAGGGAGCAACTGACGAGGCATCTTTAGCAGCGGAGCTTGGTCACACCTCAGGTGGCGCCACCAGGAGCGCGCCTAGGGCTCCAACTGGGCGGATACTCCAGCTACGCGCCGGCAAAAACCTGAAGCGCAAGGTAGCGGGTGGAGCAGGTGACTCTGTTCGACCCTCTCATTGGCCCCTGGGGTAACGGACAGGTACCTGCAGCCAGCCCCAGGCCGAGGGTACGTATGCGTGCGTGGGAAGCGCGAGGTTGAACTCCGCTCCTGCTCTGCGAAAGTGAGCTGCTCTTTGGGGAACTGTTGGGGGTCAAACCTATGCCTCCAGCTGTGCCGAATCCTCCGCTGGTTTTTGTAGCGTACCCCTCATGCGACCCAGACTCTAAATTCTCTTTGGGACAAGATTCCCTGTTGTGAAACTTAAATCACACGGCAAAGCTTCATTTTATTTATCCAAAAATTCCTTCCCCTAACCTCTTAGAACGGGCTACGGAAAAAGTCCCTGTTACCTCAATCCAGAAACGTGCGCCGAGTGCCCTCCCCCACCTCACCTAAACTCTACCGTGGGTCTCCTGGGCCCTGGCTGATTTCCACACACCATTTCTTCGCTCGCCTCCTTCAGGAAACCTTTCCTGATTAACCCCGGTGGGACCGCAGCCATCCCAATTATTCGGGAGAGAGCGCAAGGCCAAGATGACGGCAGAGATTCTAGGGGCAAAGGCGCTCAGAACAAGCCGATCGGCTCCCGCCCCGCCTCTTCGGCGAGTAAAGTCAGGCAGCGGCTCGGGCACACAGCAGTACTGGGAAGTGGGGCCTCCTACACAGTAGGAGGCTCATCTCCGGAGACCCCAGCCCCGTGCGTCCGTCAGTCCGTCGTGCGGCCCGCCCGCGGCTCCGCGTCTAGAGGAAGCCCGGAAGGGCGAGTTAAGGCAGCTTGGCTGACGGAGGGGGAGTGGGGTGTGCCAGTGCTCCGCCCCAACCCGCCCTCCGAAACTTGCTCACCGAGAGGGCGAGCCTCTCGCCTCACTCCTCTCTTTCGAGGACAAGGGGAATGAGAGTCGACAGTCAATAAATCCGAGGGGGGTGGGGATCCCGGGATACTCTGAGTCCAGGAAGGCTGCAGGGGTGGGACAAGGAGAGGGAGGTGACCTGTCCTTGTAGATGAGTCTTTGTTCACGGCCTTTGAGGGCGCGGGCCTCGAGGGCCCCATTTAAGGTTGTGGAGCAGCCTCCTTTAAAAGTTGAAATGGCTGCCGTTCGGGGCGACTGGCTGGGAGGAGAGCCCGATGAGGGGTGGCTTCGGGGACAACTGAGGCTTCTCAACGTCCGCCCTCTTCGGGGCGCAGCCCCGGTATCCCTCAGGCCGGCCCAGGTATAGGAGATGTCTCCCGGGGACCCCGGAGTATCTGGACGGGCCTCCCGAAGGGACCCGAGTGAGCAGGGCAGGCGGTGCACGGTGAGAGAAGGGCAACTTCCGGCTTCCTCCGACCCCTAGCCGGGGAGCAGGAACGGAAAGCACAGGCCGGGCACTTGGGGCCACACACTTCTCTTCTGGGGGCATGTTCACGGGTGGGGGGCATTCCTGGGGAAGGGACTTAGGGCCCGCCAAGAGCTTGGGGGTGGGGGCAGGCTCTGGCCGGAGGGCCCGGGAGGTGAAAGGTGCCGGCGGCGTGGGCTCAGTCCTATTCCTGGCCGGCTGCGGGCCGTGCAGGTAGCGCAGCAGTTCCTCCAGTGTGGTGACTTCCACGGCCTGCCCGGGACAGCCTGGAGGCGGCGGTCTCACCAGCACGCGTGGTGCGGGGCCACCTGCCGCGTGCCCGCGCCGTGCGCGGCCCGGGCCCTCCTTGTCGTTGTTCCCATTCTGCTTCCACTCCCAAGAACCCCCGGCGTTGCGGAGGTGTTTGACTGGCAGCTCGGGCGTGGACTCTGGGGTGGGCAGGCAGGCCACCTCTGGCGGAGGTACGCCCTCGGCAGGAGATAGGTAGGTGGTGTAGAGCTCGGGCGTCTGAGCCCTGTCTCCTTCTTTGGAAAGTGATGGTGGCTCAGGGCCCGCCCCGTGCAGCCGAACCAAGCTGCGAAGAGACAGAGGGCGCGGGAGCACTGGAGTCTCGACGTCCTTGCTCCGAGGTCGGTGGGCTCGGCGACAAGCGCAGGAGACCAGGAGGCCAGAGACTGAGGCGCCCAGGGCAAAGGCTGTGGCCACACAGGCCAGGAGGAGCGGGATGGGGACGGAGAGGGAGACTGAGGCTGGGGGGAGGTCCTGGCGCACGCCTGCCGACCAGAGGGAGGAGGGAGGCTCAGTGAAGGCAGGCAGGCTTGGGATGGCAAGTTCCAGAAGTTTCTCCTCTCTCACTGCTGCTCAGTATCACTCCAACATAGTCCTGACCCTCCTCAGGAACACCTCCCCTGTCCCCTCAAACACACAGCCCATCACATTATGTCTCACACCCAGGCTAGAGCTTGGGCCTGGGGAGTCCCCAGCCCAGGTCTGGCCCTGGTAGCCATGCCAAGAGCAACTGCCACACTCAGCCAGTGCAGAAGAGGTGGGTCTGGGATGCCCAGTTCTGGGGAGGGAAGGTTCCAAACAGGCATTAGTGGGCACCAAACAAAGATCAGTGAAGGACTTAAAATTCTTCAAGAATCAGCAGCCACATACTTCACTCCTGTCCCTCCCAGCCAGCCCCCTTACCCTGAGTGTGAGCTCCAAGAGTGGAAGACTGGGGCCAGGGGTGGGCATCACTGGGGGAACTGGGGGTCTCAGGGGAAGGGCCAGGACCCAGAAGCACTGGTAACAGAGACCAGGTCAGAGCCAGTGAGGCTCCTGCTCTTCACCTCTGACACCCACTCAGCACCTCTTCGGCCAGCCCACCCTTTGGAACCTCAAAGTCCAGAACTCCAGCCTCCTACTTTGCTCTGGGGTAGGGAAGGGCTCACCATGCAGGATGTCCTTTCATTTATTTGTTCAAAAACTATTTATTAAACAGCCTACTTTGCCAAGCACTGAACTGTATGCTGGGTATTTGGACGGTGCTAACCCTTTTCTGGTATGCAGGTTGCCCCGGGTGTTGATTTACTGCTGCTGTGAGCACAGACTTGGGTGAGTGTGGGCTGAGCAATGGAAGGTGAAGTTGGACAAGACTCACCATAAGCAGAATCCCCTGTGCCAGCCTGACTCCCAGTAGCTCCATCTATGAAGGATGGAGAGAGAGGGTGAAGATGGGGGCAGGGGAAGATTCATTAAAAACTGACGGGGGTGATAATGAGGGGAATCTAGTAACCACAATGTTGCTCATGTGATTTTATATTAATGATAGCAAAATTAAACAAAAAAAAAAACTGATGGGGGTGACTGTACCACAGAGAAGAGAAAAACAAAACCCCTCGCCTGAGGTGGTACCCCTGTCCCTTCTGTTTACCTTGGCAGTCACCATATTCTATGGATTCCTGGTTCCCAGATAGATCCACATCAATCCTAGGAGGAAATGGAGGTGGCTCAATGTAGTAATACTTCTTGCCCACATCCCCCACCCCAACCCTCAGCTTCCTGTCTTAGTGGTGGGAAACTTTCTCATCAGGAGATCCGGGGGCCCCCACTTACCCAGCAGAACCCCTGATATTCACACAGCCTCTGGAACTATGCCATCCACAGTATGGGTCCTGAGAAGCCAGACAGCTCCTAGGGAAAACTGATTTATGTGAGGCTGGGACCCTCTCTAATCACATCCCATTAGCCTGCCTCTTCTACTCTAGACCAATACTCCTATCATATCCAGCCAAATCCCTATTCCCCAGTCCCTGATTACTGCCCACCTGCAGAATGCTTGGGGCACCCACCCCCTCCTCCCCCAGTTCCAAGTCCCTAGCCATCCCCTGCCATCCCAAGGCCTAATGTTCCTGTGCTCCTGCAGGGCTGGCACAGGGAAGGCCTGTCTTCAGGCTGCTCACCTCCGACAGGCCCCATGCCTGGCACACCGGCTGAGAGAGATGGAAATGATGCAGCCAGGAAAAGCCACAAAGAGCCTGTGACCTTCAGTGTCCAGCTCCAGTCCTATGACCTGCTGTGCTGTTTGGGCTGCCTGCTTCCCACTGCACCTAGGGTTAAGCCAGAAAGAATCAGAGATGGGGAAGGTGAGCTTCTTTTTTGTCTGAGATAAAGAACAGAAGGTGGAGAGGGACACAAGCAACTGAATACAATTTATGGAGCTGGGGTTCCTGAGTAGCCACCCTGCCCCACCACACTGTCCAACTTCTCACCAAGCCCTCTCTCTACCCCATAGCTCCTGCCGTGTAGGAGCTGATGTTGATTTTCCCAACCCAGCTCCATACCCCCATCTGCAACTTTACATCCCTTCCCTGTTCTGTCCGGGGAACCTACGGGGACAAAGGCCTCACCTGGAGGGGCTGTAGGCATCAATTTCTTCCAACAGGATGGGCTCATGTCCCCTAGATTGCGCTCTTGGGGGAAGCACTTTCAGCACTGTCCCATCATTGGAGCCCAGGAACAGGACAGTGGTGTTACTGTAGGGTCCAGCCATGCCATCCACAGCTACCTGGGTCAGTTGGGCCCTGGAGGGATAGGTCTCAGGTCAGGGCAACCTGACAAGTGAAAGGTTGGGTGTTTCAAGAACAGCCCATGTGTCTTGGTTCCTTCTCCTGGGCCCTTCCCACAGCCCGGGGTTTCCTTCTTAGCTCTTTCCCTCCCTTCCACTTTCACAGGTTCTTCCTCCCACCAATATGATTTGCCTTGTGGGGTCATAGAAGGAGAGCGGCTGAGGATGGTGGTCAGTGTTTTTTGGCTGCATACCTGCTGGTGAGGGTGAGCAGAGGCTGATGTGAGGCAGGAGGCACGGCAGGATCCAGCAGTGGGTGAGCCTTGATGAAGGTCAGGACATCATCAGGGAGGTCTCGAGAAGAGGGGAACAAGGCAGCTATACCTACTCCTGCACAGGATCCTGGCCTGGTGGGCACATGGGAAGGGGCAGCCTTAGGGCAGGGAGCTGGAGTTTAGTTAGGCTAATCAACTTAGTTAGGCCTAGTTTGTACCCACTGCTCCCAAACATGACTGGTAACCCTGTTCCCTCTACACACAGATATCCACACTACTTCCCTTACTTGTTGCAGCTTTCCAGGCCTACTGACAACCCACTATAATACCCTCCACTGGCCTCAGCACCTTATCCTCCTCATAATCCCATTTTGGGAGAAGACACCACTTGCTTCTGCCCCCTTAAAAGCCGTCCCCATCCTGGGTACCTGGGGGAGGGGACCCTGTCCTCAGACACAGGTGTCCAGGCCCCATCCAGACTCCTCTGCTCCTTGAACTTGCCCTCAAACCCATGCTCAATGTCATCCAGGTAGAAGGCACAGACTGCAGAACCAGGGATGCTGAGGAAACCAGAAAAGCAGTGAGCTAGGTGTTGGAAGGGACAGCACAGCTCCTCCCACATATGACAAGGCAGCTACCCTTCCTGTACTATATTAGGAGTGGAGCCTGACAGGGTGGAGCAGCCCCAGGTGTCATGCTAAGAGAAAAAAGATGGGCGGAGCAGCAAACAGGCTTTGAATGGAACTTCTCTTCACTGTCCTACCAATAGGCTTTGAGAGAGGAGCTTGGACACCGGTGGGGCAGGGGACAGATTAGGCCATCTTGGTTAGTCTAGTACCAACCTATTGGTTTGGGTGGTGAAGATCCCAAAGACAGCAGGGCGGCCATACAAGTTCATAGGCCCAGTCAAGGCCTGTAAGACGTCAAAATAGAAAGTAGAGTCCCCAGGGACAGAGCAGTTGAGCCGCAATTTCAGGAAGGATGTCCAGTGGCGGTCCAAGGCTCGAGGTGAGCCACCCATGTCACGCTTACACACACGGGCCACCCGGGAGAACTGTACCTGGGGGAGGAGAATCAAAGGGTGAGGAGGACAGTGAGAGAGCCACAAGGCCAGCAGGGTAAGAGGAACATGGTGAGTTTGAGCACCAAGAGACAAATGTTAGGGACACAGCAAAGCAAGGGTATGGTATAATAGGTCAGTCTGGGTCAAGGATGAGCAGCACAGCAGAACGTAGGGGAAGAGGGCTGGGGTCTACTCCAAGTTGGGGTCAGAGTCCAGGCAATTGTATTGTAGAGATTGGGGCCAGGAGCTCTCCCCTGACTCTGACTTCTTGGGATCCAGCAGAACCTTCTAGTTACCCTCCCCTGGTGTCCACCTCCTTACCCTCCCCAGTCGGACATCCTCCACAGAGACCTCTCGGAAGAAGAAGTAGACATGGTCTCCATGCTCCAAGGCATGGACAAAGTGTGGTTCTGAAGTAGGGAGTGACAGGAAAGGGTATGGAAGAGTATCTGTACCTGCCCAGAAACTCCTGGCCCCACACAATCTCCCCCCTTTGCATACATGCACATTACCACCATCGTCTGCCTGCTCCCTGCTACAGCCCTTCCCCTGCACCTCCTCCTGCAAGAGCAGTCTCCCTCCCCCAGGCCTTCCCTGACCTCTGAGCCACTTGGAGTCATACTTGGCGGAGCGGAGTGGGGGCTGAGGCCCGAGGCTTCTGTAAACCACAGCATCACTGGCCTGGAAGTCCGCAGCAGTGGCTGAGTACAGGCTGCCCTCTGGAGGGGTGGGTGGAATGGCATTGCGGAGGGCTCAGGGATCTGTGTCCTGGCTCTTAGGCCTCCCATATCCCTACCTGAGCCTGGCCCTGGCCCCTACCCCAACCCTCCACTCAGGAACACAGGGAAAGACTGAGTCAGGAAAGGGGCTAAGGTGGGAAACCTGCCGGCCACAGGCCTGCTTCTCACATGCCCAGGTGCACACCTGCAAAGATGGCCACGTTGGACTGAGTGGCATCAAAGGGGCATCGAGCCTGCCCACTCAGCTCCTCACCCTCCTGCTGCAGCGAAGTTATCTGGAGGCAGAGGGAGCAGGTTCTCGGAACCCTTGCAGTCTTGGAGTCTGACTCCGTAGCCCACTTCCTTCTGCCCCCTTGCCTTGTTGCCCCATCCCTTCTGGACCCTCTCATTTCCCCACTCCCACTGGGCCATTCCCACCAAATCGATTGCCCATCTTGGGTTCTCCTCCCATTCCCATCCTGACCTCCCACCCTCGCCTTTGTACCCCATAGCTGCGGCACACAGGGCTGAATGAATTTGTTCCACAGGCAAGGAGTGTCTGGGAGTCCCAGGGCACAAGAACACGAATATAGTTGTAGCACTCGTCCTAGAGAACCCAAAATTCTAGGTCAGCAAGAGGGATCCTGGGACTGAGTTAGGGGGTCACAGGACGTAAGCCTAACCCCCTGAGCCAGTCAGAGCAAGGTGGTGTAGAGTCCTGACTAAGCTATTTGCTGGCCCTGCAGCCTTGGTCAAGTCCTTTGGCCTCTCACAGTGTCACTTTTCTTTTTTGTGAGCTATGTAAAGGCAGGTAAAAATCATTAATTCTCTCTCCTGTACGTTTTCCTCTGTGGCCTGATATGGGAGAAGTGGGTGGGAAATTGGGCATGGAGGAGGACTACTTAGACAGAGCCAGGAGGCAGAGTAACCTCCCCTCAAAATTCTCACTCAGCTCCTCACCATCAGCTTCCCCCGCACAGCACAGTTCTCCACATCATGGCTCCTCCATGTTAGATACTGAAGGGGCAAATGGAAGAGAGGAAATAATGGGGCAATCTGGACTGCACCTCACATTATGGCTCCTTTTGGATTCTTCTTCCCACCCACTTGACCCTCGTTAGACTTTTCCCAGCCTCGTTAGACTTTTTCCCCATGCCTGCACCTCCTCCCACACAGCCCCTCACCTTGTTGGGCACCAGCCCCTCCCCTTTTTCTTGGGCTTGAAGATCAAAGGAGAACACGTGATCCCTGAAGGGAGAGGTAAGGAGGGATCAGAGCCAAGCCAGGGCACCCACCTGAGCTCCTTAGCCCCTGCAGGACCCATATTTAGCTGCTTAGGGACAAACAGTGAAGGACAAACTCCTGCCCACTGTCCTTCCCCTTACTCCATCCATGCCTTGGCATTTGTGCACTGGGTACAAGCATGTCCCATGGCTTGCACACCTGCATGTGTCCCCTGCAAGATGCTGCAGTGGCTGTGTAGGTCCCATGTCTGAGAACATGCATGTCAGCCCCACAACTGTGCCACAGCTAGTTTACCGGGCAGCCACTAGCAAGGTCCGGTTCAAGGTCAGGAATCTCTGAAAGTCCAGCCCAAGTTCTGCAACCACAGCATCATCCTCCAGGCCCCGGAACCAGGATAATGGGGAAGTACCTAGAAGGCACAGAGAAGTGTGTGCTGAAGGCCAGCTAGAATACCACATACCCACTCAACATCCTCTCCAACCAGAAGAAACCCAGCCATGGGCATAGTGGGTATGTGAGATGAGTTGTGAGTTATTAATGAAGCTATTAACAAGGCTTATTCAAAATACAAAACCAGCTAACCCTGAGCACTTAACCTCTGCCAAGCACTGTGTTAACACTTTAGGTGCACTGTCTCATTTAACACAACTCTATGAGGTAGGTACTAATTTCACAGATGAGCCTGAGGCTTAAAGCTGTTAAAGAATTTGCATAGCTCACTTAGCTTGGAAGTACAGGCACCAGGATTCAGATATAAGTCTGTCTAACTCCAGAGCTGACCACAGTCCCATCTTGGAACAGCCTTAGGGCTAGCGATTCCCTTTTGGTCCCACATTGTACACGGTCCCATCTGGAGCTTTTACTCACCCCATTTCTCCCAGCCCTCTCTTTGCACCCTCCCCTCAAGGTTCTTCACAGGCCAGCTCAGCCCTCCAAGGTTTCTGCCTCCTCTGACCAACTCCAGCATCCACCTGGCCTGATCATGGAAACCACAGTCATCAGCACTCAAAAGGGAACCCTGAGTTCAGGGATAGATGGTTTAACATTCATGCAGTGCTTAGAACTGTGTCTGGCACATATAAATGTTTGCTGTTCTTATCTGTCCCCCAGCAGTTACTCTGAAAAATACAACTGCAGTTCCTTCATCCTTAAAATTACAGATATAAATCCTAAATCCTACATATGTAACAGGAAGCTACATATAGATAAAAGTTCTTCTCAGAAAAGGTGGGTTTATAGTTTCCCTCACAGCAGGACCTGGGCTTAGTAGAGGTGCAAGCAGTAGAGAGGGAAGATGTGCTGAAACTCTGACCTAGTCCCAAGCCTTCATTTTGTAGCTAATAATAATAGCAAACATATATTAAGTATTTGCTTTGTGCCAGACAGTGTTCTCAGCACTTTACATGTCTTACCTCATTTAATCCCTAAATAACTCTGAGGTATAATACTATTATTATCTCCATTTTTGCAGATGAAGAGACTGAGGCAAAGAAAGGTTAAAAAACCTGACCACACAGCTAATAAGCAAATTAGCAGGGATTCAAACCTGCTAAGGTTTGGTCTGACAGAGAATCCATATTCTTAACCACCGAACAGTGCTTCTGCGAAGTGAAGAAAGCAGGCCCAGGGATAAGAAGCAACAGACCTGAGCAGCCAGCTCCTGTACCTGACCTCCTGCACAGGGTGCTGCTGTGTCTAATTGCCAAGACGGAATACTGAGCTCACGTGAGGTGCAGTACCAGGGCACTCACCTTGCAGGTCAGAGGTCAGCAGAGGGAGGGGGTCCTGGGGAAAGGCAGCCCTGGTGTGGGGAAGTACAAGCAGGAGCACCAGCAGCAAGGGCATGAAGCAGGGGGTGCAGGGCATTCTGTGTGGGGCAGCTCAAGCCCCAGGGGATGTCCCCTCACCCATACACTGGCCCTGAGAGAGGAGACAGAAAAGTGGGGGAAGGTATCAGATTCCCTCCACCCTTCATGCAGGCAGGATCCTCCCTTGGTCTATCCCCAGAAGTCCCTGTGGAGTGGGATAAAGAACCCTCTTTCTGGCACTGCCTCAGCCCCAGCCGGCTGTCACTGTCACTTAAGGCCCTTCCCTCTTGGACTGGCCCAAACTGGCTGGTATGAGGCCTGCCAGCATGACCCCAGCTAAGGACAGGACACACACACACCGTCCAAGCTTCCCACTCAGCCCTTCCTCCTCTCTCCTGGCTGAACCTGGGACACTCGGTAGGTGACACCTCCTGGTCCCTCTTGCTAACCCCTTCTTAGCTATAATTAGACACTGAAGCCTTAAAATTATAAATAGTGACTCCTTGGCACTGGGAGGAGGAAGAGGGCACCATTTCTGCCGCCTCCTCCCTCACAGACCCCCACAGCACCAAGGGAGCAATGTAGGGGTGGTGCCCAGCCAGCATCATCTCCAGGGCTGAGGAAGAAGAGTGGGGAGGCAGCCCAGGGGTCATTGTCCTGGTCTAAATTCATGCTTCAGAGGCCCTCCCGTGGCTAGGGAGAAGCCAGATAGGGAAGGGGGGCTGCCTTCGCCAAAAATGAACCTGCATCAAAGCGGGAACAGAAGCTAAATTTAGCTCTGGCTGCAGCTGTCTGCCCAACCACTGTGCCCCCTCCAAGCTTCCCTAGCCCCTTATTCCCTCCCTGGCTCTGAAGAACCAGTGTATGAACTTGGTAAGGGGAAGAGTGGACCCATCCACTCTGGGCAGCCAGGGATAGAAGGGGCTATACTAGTGAGGAGAAAAGGTTGAACGTGTCCTTCTTTCTTTTTCTTCACCCTTTGGGCTGCCTTGAAATGCTAATATAAATAATTCAATGACAGGCAGGCCAACTGTAGCCCAAAGTCCAGGAAAAGAAGGATATGGTGGAAGGAACAATAAGACAGCTCTCATTCACACCCATTAGTCTCCCCCTGTCCCACTACCACCAGCTCACTCTGGCTGGGACCCACAGCAGGAGGCGTATACCACGTTCCTACCTTGCTTCCCCTGAAACTAAGTGAGGGGCTGGGTAGGCTTAGGAAATCAGGTCAGGTCTTTCTGGGAACAGACAGCTATCATTTGCCAATCCTTAGTTGCCTATCCCACCCCCCTTGTCCCCTAAAGAAGAGACCCTGGGTTTCCAGGCCCAGCTTATTCCATCTTTCCAACAATTCCAGACTTGGAGCAAGGACCCAAGTGTACCCCACCCCCAATCCAGCGTCACTGGTGGGGAGACTGACGTCAGATGGGGACCCAAGAGAGCTGGAGGGGTGTAAGGGGTATGAATGCCTAATGATAATCTCTCCTTCCCCAAGGACAGAACTAATGACCCTCTGGTACTGAAAGGCCAGGCCTCCCTCCCTGCCCCACCACGTTTCCGGATGCTGATGCTCCCAGGGGAAAAGAAAGGGACGCAGCTTGTCTCCTGTCCTCCCCTTCTGCTCTACCCCCCACCCCACCCCAAGTTGCCCTGGGCATGCCCTGGTATCTTCACCCAGGAAACAACTTTGGTCTCTGGAAGTTGGGAGAACAGCCTCTTCCTGCTACCAGGCATGCCAACTACCATCCTCTGCCCTCAGGAGCTAGTGTCCTTTCCTTACCTAGGGTGGTGACTCCTGTGGGGGTTTGAGGGGGACAGGAGACTGCTGACCTAGTGGAAGAAGGGACAGGAGGAGGAAAGAGACTCTCCAACCAGAAGAAACCCAGCCATGGGCATAGTGGGTATGTGAGATGAGTTGTGAGTTATTAATGAAGCTATTAACAAGGCTTATTCAAAATACAAAACCAGCTAACCCTGAGCACTTAACCTCTGCCAAGCACTGTGTTAACACTTTAGGTGCACTGTCTCATTTAACACAACTCTATGAGGTAGGTACTAATTTCACAGATGAGCCTGAGGCTTAAAGCTGTTAAAGAATTTGCATAGCTCACTTAGCTTGGAAGTACAGGCACCAGGATTCAGATATAAGTCTGTCTAACTCCAGAGCTGACCACAGTCCCATCTTGGAACAGCCTTAGGGCTAGCGATTCCCTTTTGGTCCCACATTGTACACGGTCCCATCTGGAGCTTTTACTCACCCCATTTCTCCCAGCCCTCTCTTTGCACCCTCCCCTCAAGGTTCTTCACAGGCCAGCTCAGCCCTCCAAGGTTTCTGCCTCCTCTGACCAACTCCAGCATCCACCTGGCCTGATCATGGAAACCACAGTCATCAGCACTCAAAAGGGAACCCTGAGTTCAGGGATAGATGGTTTAACATTCATGCAGTGCTTAGAACTGTGTCTGGCACATATAAATGTTTGCTGTTCTTATCTGTCCCCCAGCAGTTACTCTGAAAAATACAACTGCAGTTCCTTCATCCTTAAAATTACAGATATAAATCCTAAATCCTACATATGTAACAGGAAGCTACATATAGATAAAAGTTCTTCTCAGAAAAGGTGGGTTTATAGTTTCCCTCACAGCAGGACCTGGGCTTAGTAGAGGTGCAAGCAGTAGAGAGGGAAGATGTGCTGAAACTCTGACCTAGTCCCAAGCCTTCATTTTGTAGCTAATAATAATAGCAAACATATATTAAGTATTTGCTTTGTGCCAGACAGTGTTCTCAGCACTTTACATGTCTTACCTCATTTAATCCCTAAATAACTCTGAGGTATAATACTATTATTATCTCCATTTTTGCAGATGAAGAGACTGAGGCAAAGAAAGGTTAAAAAACCTGACCACACAGCTAATAAGCAAATTAGCAGGGATTCAAACCTGCTAAGGTTTGGTCTGACAGAGAATCCATATTCTTAACCACCGAACAGTGCTTCTGCGAAGTGAAGAAAGCAGGCCCAGGGATAAGAAGCAACAGACCTGAGCAGCCAGCTCCTGTACCTGACCTCCTGCACAGGGTGCTGCTGTGTCTAATTGCCAAGACGGAATACTGAGCTCACGTGAGGTGCAGTACCAGGGCACTCACCTTGCAGGTCAGAGGTCAGCAGAGGGAGGGGGTCCTGGGGAAAGGCAGCCCTGGTGTGGGGAAGTACAAGCAGGAGCACCAGCAGCAAGGGCATGAAGCAGGGGGTGCAGGGCATTCTGTGTGGGGCAGCTCAAGCCCCAGGGGATGTCCCCTCACCCATACACTGGCCCTGAGAGAGGAGACAGAAAAGTGGGGGAAGGTATCAGATTCCCTCCACCCTTCATGCAGGCAGGATCCTCCCTTGGTCTATCCCCAGAAGTCCCTGTGGAGTGGGATAAAGAACCCTCTTTCTGGCACTGCCTCAGCCCCAGCCGGCTGTCACTGTCACTTAAGGCCCTTCCCTCTTGGACTGGCCCAAACTGGCTGGTATGAGGCCTGCCAGCATGACCCCAGCTAAGGACAGGACACACACACACCGTCCAAGCTTCCCACTCAGCCCTTCCTCCTCTCTCCTGGCTGAACCTGGGACACTCGGTAGGTGACACCTCCTGGTCCCTCTTGCTAACCCCTTCTTAGCTATAATTAGACACTGAAGCCTTAAAATTATAAATAGTGACTCCTTGGCACTGGGAGGAGGAAGAGGGCACCATTTCTGCCGCCTCCTCCCTCACAGACCCCCACAGCACCAAGGGAGCAATGTAGGGGTGGTGCCCAGCCAGCATCATCTCCAGGGCTGAGGAAGAAGAGTGGGGAGGCAGCCCAGGGGTCATTGTCCTGGTCTAAATTCATGCTTCAGAGGCCCTCCCGTGGCTAGGGAGAAGCCAGATAGGGAAGGGGGGCTGCCTTCGCCAAAAATGAACCTGCATCAAAGCGGGAACAGAAGCTAAATTTAGCTCTGGCTGCAGCTGTCTGCCCAACCACTGTGCCCCCTCCAAGCTTCCCTAGCCCCTTATTCCCTCCCTGGCTCTGAAGAACCAGTGTATGAACTTGGTAAGGGGAAGAGTGGACCCATCCACTCTGGGCAGCCAGGGATAGAAGGGGCTATACTAGTGAGGAGAAAAGGTTGAACGTGTCCTTCTTTCTTTTTCTTCACCCTTTGGGCTGCCTTGAAATGCTAATATAAATAATTCAATGACAGGCAGGCCAACTGTAGCCCAAAGTCCAGGAAAAGAAGGATATGGTGGAAGGAACAATAAGACAGCTCTCATTCACACCCATTAGTCTCCCCCTGTCCCACTACCACCAGCTCACTCTGGCTGGGACCCACAGCAGGAGGCGTATACCACGTTCCTACCTTGCTTCCCCTGAAACTAAGTGAGGGGCTGGGTAGGCTTAGGAAATCAGGTCAGGTCTTTCTGGGAACAGACAGCTATCATTTGCCAATCCTTAGTTGCCTATCCCACCCCCCTTGTCCCCTAAAGAAGAGACCCTGGGTTTCCAGGCCCAGCTTATTCCATCTTTCCAACAATTCCAGACTTGGAGCAAGGACCCAAGTGTACCCCACCCCCAATCCAGCGTCACTGGTGGGGAGACTGACGTCAGATGGGGACCCAAGAGAGCTGGAGGGGTGTAAGGGGTATGAATGCCTAATGATAATCTCTCCTTCCCCAAGGACAGAACTAATGACCCTCTGGTACTGAAAGGCCAGGCCTCCCTCCCTGCCCCACCACGTTTCCGGATGCTGATGCTCCCAGGGGAAAAGAAAGGGACGCAGCTTGTCTCCTGTCCTCCCCTTCTGCTCTACCCCCCACCCCACCCCAAGTTGCCCTGGGCATGCCCTGGTATCTTCACCCAGGAAACAACTTTGGTCTCTGGAAGTTGGGAGAACAGCCTCTTCCTGCTACCAGGCATGCCAACTACCATCCTCTGCCCTCAGGAGCTAGTGTCCTTTCCTTACCTAGGGTGGTGACTCCTGTGGGGGTTTGAGGGGGACAGGAGACTGCTGACCTAGTGGAAGAAGGGACAGGAGGAGGAAAGAGACTGAATTACACCACCTTATACATCCCTTAAAAATAAATGTGAAAATTCAGAAGTCTATGGAGGCTAGTTAGGGGAGATGCTGCCCTGGAATGAGGTCTGTGTGGGGTGTTGTCACTGAACTTGATTACAAAGGTGCTGGTGTCTACATGCCCAGAGAAGAGGGCAGGGGCTGGGGCTGGTCTCTAGCCAGAAACTCCTGGAACTGCAGGACTGGTCTTGAGAGAATGGGTGACTGGGAAAGTTCATGGGGCATGACAACCACTGTCACCTTAAAACCCTCAGAGTTCAGCAGCCTTCTTAGCAGAAGTACCCAGGCTAGGGACAATAGAGGCCAATTTGCATCTCATTTATATGCTCTCATTTCACAAAATGCACCTATAGCAAGCTCCCCTAGCTCCTTCCCTTTTCCCTAAGACAGCAGGCCCTGACTTCCTCCCATCCAAACTCTCCACCCCACCCCCCACCTTAGGATAGGTTAGTCCAGCCTCCAAAAACAATTGATTGACCTTTGCAGGGGCCCCCTCTAACCTTAAGTATATATCTTCAAGAGGGCTTCCCGTAGCTGTTTTTTGGGGGGTGGGGAGCAGCATCTGAAGGCCCCCTTCCCATTCCTGGCCAGGGGAAAGGCTTACCCTGCTGGGACCAATACCAGCTGCTTCGTACCCCCACCTGAGGCAAATGCTGGGGGCTGGTTGGCCTTGTACCCCTCTTAGGTCCTCCCCTTGCTGAGAAGAGGAAACAGCCTTTCTCTCTCCTCCTGGCCTTGAAGCCACCTCTGGGGAGTGGCTGGGGTCACAGCCAGAGCTTAGTGGGGGCTGGGGAAAGGATGGAGAAGGGGAGACCAGGCTGGGGACAATAGCAGGAAGCCCTCGGGCTGGCCACATGAGCCAGTCCACCTTCCTCTGGGGGAGCGGGGAGAAGGGGGCGGGAGGGGGCGCGCCGAGGATCCTCGAGTCGTCTTCCCTTCTCCAAAACATTTCCCCACCTTCAATTCCAGGCTGGCACCTACCTTCCCACCAACCCAACCCCCAGTAAGGATAATCCAGGTGTCTGAAGTCTCTCATGAGGTGGGCCTGGGGCCAGGGGCTCGACGTGTCTCCCCCTCACTGTATCTGGGGCTCCGAGAGGGGCGGGTAGCAGAGTCTGGGCCGGGACCGGGTCCCAGAGCCACGTTAGCGGGAGGAGGGGCCGGAGGGGCCTGCAGGCTCAGGAGTGGGGACGGGAGCGGGAATGGGGAGCGGAGGCAGGTCTCCCAGGCCAGGGAAACTGGGCCAGAGGCAGGGGCCAACGCTGAGCGGGTTCCAGGGGCTCAGATGCAATCGCCTGCTCAGCTCTCCTCCTTGGAAGACCTCGGTCTAACAAAGCCCCGAAACGAGTGGGGTGCAGAAAAGAGATGTGCTTGAGGCTGACGTTTCTCGGTGCCCCTTCCCCGACTCTCGTGCCTAAGCCATCCCCAGGGAGGTGCTCAGACTCCCGCTTGCACAAGGACAGAGGTGCAGCTGTGACACCAAAGTCCGGAACGACGCGTCCCTCTTCCCATCACTGAAGGGACATCGAGAGGGTCCGGTTCTCCGCGGGTCTCGGAGCCTTGGTTCCCCTGCTGGAGAGGCAAGGGACCAGGTTTTCAGTCTGTGTAAAGTGGGGCGCCTCAAATAATCCCCTTTCGCGCTCCGCAATCCGGGAGACTCTGCTTGGAGAAGCCGTGTCGGAAGAGGCACCCAGACCCAGCGCCCAGCAGTGCACTGAGGGGGCTCGGCCACGGTCCCCTACTCCCTCCGCACACCCCAACCCTGCTGACCCTCTCCACCCTCCCGGGTCCCTCTTGCACTTCGGAAGCTTACCCGCATACTTCGGCGCCCCCCGTCCTCCCCGCCTCCCTGCAACCCCATCCCAGCTCTGGGGTACTTGCTCCGACATCCGGGGCAGCGGGTCGAGACCCCAGCCGACAGGCAGCGGCCCTGAACTGCGCCGAGTTCGCAATCCGAGGTTGGGGCTCTGGCGAGATGTGATGAGCATCCGCAATGGATGGAGCTTGGAGCTGGGGTCCCGTGCACTGTCTCTTCGGGCGAACCCTGGGTCCCAGTCGCAAGCCCCGACTCCCGCCGGAGCTCCGCGGAGGAAAACAATGCGACCGCCCGGGGCTCTGCGCCGAGCCCCTGCTGCCCCGCCCGCCTCCCGGCTGGGCCCGCCTAAGGCTCGCCGCAACGAATCCCGCTCTCCGAGGCCGTCTGGACACCGCCTTCTCCACACCTCTCCGCCAGTAGTCTCGGAGGAGGAGCGCGCCAGGCGCGCCGCCCAAGAGCCGGGAGGGGAGGCAGGGCTGGAGACCGCAGCCCGGCGCGAGGCAGGCTCGCGGACGTTCTTTGAGACCGGGAGAGAGGAGTGGGGCGGGGGTCACACGCTCTAACATGGGGAGGCCGAAGGGAGAAACCGCACAGGAAAGAAAGCATGAGAAGCTGGGAGGAAAGACAGTAAACCCGGGGCCCTCGGCTGGGCTGGGCCGTCAGAGCCAGTGCATCTTCCCCGCCCCCCACCCGCCTCCTTCCCTCTCTTCGATGGCTCTGGCTACCTGCTCCCTGGGGAATCTCCCTGCCTCTCCCCTACTCTGTCCCCAACCCTCTGTTCCTCCTCTTTACACTTTTTACCTCAACTCCTTGATTTCTCCCTTGTACCTCCTCTGGTTTATCCTGACCTTAATAAGGGAGGCCTAGTGCGCACTTGAGGGCTTGAGACCTGGGAAGGGAAAGGAAGATGTCACCAGGAAGTCTCCTTGACTCCACCATCCCCTCCCCTCCCACTCCTACTGTCAGAGCAGGGGGGTGGTGGCCACTAGACCAGGACCTGAAGAGCTGGGAAGCCAGGGGTGGCCGGCAGGCAGGCTGCTGGCTGACGGGAGAAGACAGGTGAGTGGGGCTGAAGCCAAGAGAGAGAGGTGGAGGCTGGGACAAACGGACTCAGGATCAGACAGGAAGCGGAGCAACACTGAGAACTGAAACAGAGGGAAAAGGACCCGCTGTCCCCACCCGGCGGTGCTCTGCCCCTCCCACCCCAGGCAGGACCGTGATGCCCATCTTTCCTCCAAGGGCCCTGCACATCCTTTCAAATTGCAAAACGGCCCCTTCTCCATCCCCACCCTCCATAGAGACCCTTTGATTATGGGAATGTCAGCGGGGAGGAAGAATGAGCCTACTTGAGACAACAGTGCTTGGCTCCCACCTTGCTATTGCAACTAAGATTCTTCCCTGCGTGGGGGTTGGGACAAAAGACGTTCTCAAAATTCCCAGGATAGTGGGTGGCCTGGGAGACATTGGCATTCTCAGACAGCTTCTCTGAGTGGGCACCTTCTTCCGCCTCCCCTATCCCCACGTCCTGGTTTCTGGACTGGAAGAAAAGAGAGGCAGAGGTTTGCTACTTTTGGCAAGTCTTAAGTACTCAAATATATGCTCATTTAAGAGATTAGTGAATGGTGATTAAGGTGTAATTCACTTAAAGTTTTAGGGCCCAACTAAAATCTCAGCTCAACCCAATAAGTATTAAGCACTTCAGGTACAATCCACTGTGGGATGTGGTCCCAGTCTTTAAGAAAATGACCAGCTATTTGAGTTAAAATAAGACTTACATGTACTAAATGATTAAAAAGCAATACCAAGTCTTAAAAAAAAAAAAAAGCTACACTGAACACAATTCCCAAATGAAAGAAAAGACAGTAAATACTCTTCATGCTGACTGCAGAGAGATGTTGGATACATTTTATCATGGGGAAAAGAAGAATTTTGGTAGGAGTTGCCCATGATGCAAAAGAAAGAAGAAAATATTCCAGAGAAAAATAGCTTAAGCAAAAGCTTTTACTTGATGAGCATGAAGCATGGATAGCAAAAGGTCTTGTGTGACTGATAAGTAAGAAAGATACACTAGTTAGAAACAGGAAAGCAGAAGAGGGAGACAGATTATGGAAAGCCTCGAATGCCAAGGTAAGTCGGTTAAAATAACCTGATAGGAATAGGATGTGATTTTAAGTTCCTGAAAAAGGGTGTTACTCATCAAAATGCTTTATTTTAGGAAGGAGACCTACTAGTAAGAAAACAGGGAGATTAAGGATGAAGGGAGAGAGAAGTCAAACAAGGATGTCAGCATTGGGTATGGAAAGAAATGGATGAATCTGAGAGCTATTTCAAAGGACAAATCCAAATGACTCTCTTCCTGCTCCCTGGGGTCTTCTGGAGAAAATCCCACAGTCCCACAGTTTGAAGCCTTTAATAGATTCAGGATCTCCAAGCTTGAAAAATCACCCTCTCCCAATCCTTTTTTTTTTTCAATTTTTTTGCCTCTTTTCTCAAGTTACTTTTCATACCACTTCCTTGCTCATCTTAGCAGAACACACATCCATCTTCAGAGAAAAGAGGCAATAAAGTGAGAATTCCACTTTCTGCCCTCTACACGTGTACTTAGCTGCAGCCCCACATCTCTCTCATCCCAGATGATGAGGCAATTTTTATTGCCTGTCTAGGGTTCACCTTTCCACTTAGCTATGAATTCCACACACACAAGGGCCTAGCTATGGTCAGTCTTGCTACCACTGCAACCCTTGCTTTTAGCACAGTGCCTGGCACATGGCAGGTGTTAACTGTTAACACATTGGTTGAATAAATCGGTACTCTATCTCCTGCTTAGGAGCTTTATTTCACATGTTCTCAAATCCTTTCTCCTTCCTCTATTTTTGACCATTTTCCTTTTTCTGCATTTTCCCCTCAGCATATATACATGTTCAAGTATCTCTCATGATTAAAAGAACAAATGCTAAGCTATCCTTGGTCTGTGTTTAGACACCACTCAATTTCTTCCCTTCCCAGCTGAACTCTAGGATCACCTATACTTCCTGTATCCTTTTCCCCCCTTCTCATTCTTTTCTTAATCAGTTTAGTTTTTGCCCCCATGGATCCACTGAGATTGTTCTCAAGGCCACTAATGACCTTTTGTCACATGCAATGAATAGCTCTTAGTCTTTATCCTTTTGACCCTACTGACCCCTCCTTCCTTTAAGTGCTCTTCTATTTTGGCTCCTGGGTCGTCCTTTCTCTTGACAGAGACTAGGGACTTAATAAATACATACATTTCTTAATGAATGAATGACTTCTCTGCTATTAATATGGCCTCTTTCTCAGCTTTCTCTAACTTCTCTTTAAATCCTCAACCATCTCTTCTTGCTCTACACCTTCTCGATATGAGGTCAAGATAATCCAGATTACTAGGGCTGGTTATTCAGCAGTCCTGTGCTTCCACTCCCTCCCCACTCCAATTCTTTTCCTCCCTCCGGTGAGCTGGGGTGGGGGGAGCGCTCGGGTCCCGCTGGGTCGAGGCTTTGTATCTTACCCTTTTCGGGAGATGCTGAGTTCTTGCAGATGTAGATGTAGCCTGGCTGTTGTACTGTATCTTCTGGTCTCTCCGTTAGGCGTAGTTGTATTTGTTGTATTTTCAAATATATATATGGTTTTGGGAGGAGATTTCTGCTGCCCTACTCACACTGCCATCTTGGCTCCTCCCCTGAGGTCAAGATAATCCACACCAACAGTTTCAATAACTACTTATGTGCTGTTCATCATAAAATCTAGGTATTCAACCTGAGTCTTTATCCTTAGTACTAAACTTACTTTTACAATTGTTTTTTAGATACTTCCATTTGGATTTTTCTTAGTCTAAAGACAGGAAACTTATCTTTTATCGTATCCCAGCACTTAGTCATAATGCCTGGCATATTGTAAGTTAGAGGAAGAAATAAATGCCTCAAAGATGTGGACTACCTCTAGCTATGGCAGGCTGAAGTTTTGCTTGACTGCTTCAGATCCCACTGAACTTTCTCTCCCTGAACTGACAGGAGAGTACTGATCCTAACCTTGACTCAACTAAGCAGAAATGTAGGAATGCTGCAGTCTGCCTATTTTCCCAGATAACTGAAGTTTATCCAATGAAGTGCAAAACATTTTCACTTTAACTTTCAAATAGGGATTATTTGAAAATATATTATTTTATTTCCCGTGGATTATATAGTGGAAAGAGCACAAGTTGGAGTCATTAAAACCTAGATTAACGTCTGGAATATGGCATTGGATAAACGACTTATCTCTAAAGCTGAGTATGTCATCTATGACTGGACATTTTACCTGCCTGCCTGCCTACCTCACAGGCAGAGGATCAAGATAATTAGGTGAAATGTTTTGTAAATCTTAAAGTGTTTCACACATTTAAGATATTGTCATTTAACCAGTTTTTTGCTTACTGAGAACTTAATTATACAGGAAAACAATGAGGACCCCAAAGTCTAGAATATTTATAGTTAATACTGTTTGCTCCTCCTCTACCTGGCCAAAAAAATGCTACAATTTTCAATGGCCTGCTTTTTTGTATATACCTAGCCTCCCCTTTCTTTCTGTATTAATTCTCATTGTTATATTTTTCTAAAAGCTCCTCTTTCCTTTTAATTAGCTGCCAATTATGTGTTGTGAGTTTGAAGAAGATTACTAGAAATGGATATAAATTAAAGAGAAAATGAAAGAGGGGCAGAGCCAAGATGGCGGTGTGAGTAGGGCAGTGGAAATCTCC